TGGTGTAGAGGAAGGAGAAAGCAGGTCGGTTTTACCCAGGTGACGTTGGGCCTTGGATCCCAGCCGGAGCACCAAGAAGCCCAGAGCAGCTTGTGCTCTTAGCGGGGTGCACTCGCTGCAGATGACCGCCTGCTCCTCCGTGGTCACACACTGTGCTCACAATCGTATGTGGATCATCTCACATGGTCCTCACAGCCCTGTGATTACCCCCATGTTACTAATGAGGAAGCAGGTTAGGAATCTCAGAAGTGGCTTCATCTGACGGAGCTGGCGTTCGCCCTGGCCTACTTCAGGGCCCATGTTCTTCACTAGTCCTTCCTTTCTTTGCTGCTTTAGAGACATCAAATTCAGCCCGAGCCCCTGTCATTTTCCTTTTGCTTGATTTATTTGGGAAAGTAGCCTTTACCATGCGGGTGCAAACTGGGAAGGTCACCTTTCATTTATTTAGCACCTGTGCTTCGTGCCTACTCTGCTGGCATTGCAGGTGACATGGCCAAACATGGGACAACTCCTGTCCACTGAGTTTTCTCCCTGACCCCCTCAAGCTTTGGACAGTGCCGTCCGCATGACATCAGAACATTTCTGAAATATCCCAGAACTGTCTGCCGCTGTCACTTTCACATGCCCTTCCTGCCCAATACTGCCTTGAAAGCATCATCCTTTGGGTCCTCAAACTGGTTTGTGTTATCTTTCCATCCCTGTGACAGAATACCTGAGATAAACCACATAGAAGTAGGAAATTGATTGTAGAGGTTTCAGTCTATGGTCACTTGGCCCTGTCTTTGGGTCTGTGGCAGCAGGGTACATCCTGGCAGAAGTGTTGGTGGAGGAAACTTCTTACCTCAAGGTAGCCAGGAAGAGAGAGAGAGGAAGAGGAGCTAGAATCCCAGTATTCCCTGCAAGGGCACAGCCCCAATGACCTCCTTCCTCTAACTAGACCCCAACTCCTGAAGTTTCCACCACCTCTCAGTAGGGCCACCAGCCAGAGAACCAAGCTTTCAACTTATGGTCCTTTGGAGGACCTCTTAACAGTTGCACAAAAAGTTTTTCTTCCAGAGCCTCTGATATTTTTCCTCTTTGGCAAAGGGTTAAATAAAGCTGAAAAGAAGCATGCCTTACTTCTAACTCAGAGGGTTGTATTCAGAAAAAATTATAAACAAATGCCTTAGGTATTAAAAAGATATACTAAAAGTAAACTATTGATTTTGCAAAATTAGGAAGAGCAGTACATTAAAAGGAAAAAGAAAATAATGAAGACAAAGTAAACAAATTGAGAACTTCAAAAAAAGGAACAGCTTAGAAAAGCTGATTCCTTGTGATGACCAATAAAATAAATTATCTCCCAAAGGTGCTCTTAATTTTTTTATTCATTTGTTCAATTTGTGGTGCTAGGGATGGGAACAGGGCCTTGAGCATGCTAGATAAGCACTCCCATTGGTCTGTAGAGTTGTGCTCTCAGTCCGGGCTTCCTGACTTTAACACAGTTCTGTTTTTTTTCTTCTTTTTTTGAATTCTTTTTTTTAAAATTTTTAATATTTATTTTTTTCAGTTTTCGGCAGACACAACATCTTTGTTTGTATGTGGTGCTGAGGATCGAACCCAGGCCGCACGCATGCCAGGCGAGCGCGCTACTGCTTGAGCCACATCCCCAGCCCCTTTCTTCTTCTTCTTCTTCTTTTTTTTTCCTTAAGAACTAATCAAAATGACTTATGTATGTATGTGTGTGTGTACTGGTAATTGAACCCAGGCATGCTCTACCACTAAGTTACATGTCTAGCCTTTTTTTTTTTTTTTTTAATTTTTTATTCTTTTTGGTATCAGGAATTAAACCCAGGGGTGCTTTACCACTGAGCAATGCCCCCAGTCACCCCCACTTTTTATTCTTTTGAGACAGGGTCTCCTTAAGTTGCTTAGGCTAGTTTCAAACTTTTGATCCTCTTACCTCAGCCTCCAGGGTCACTGGGATTACAGGTATGTGCCATTGCACCCAGCTGATTTTTATAATTTTTTTTAAATAACTTGTTGAACCTACATGTCCATTTGTAGAAGCTGATTTAAGAAGTTAGAATGCAGCTGGGCATAGTGGCACACCCCTATAATTCCAGAGGCTGGGGAGGCTGAGACAGAAGGATCAAGAGTTCATAGCTAGCCTTAGCAACTCAGTGAGGCGCTAAACAACTCTTAGAGTCTTAGAGTTTCTAACTTTTCTTTTTTATTAACTCAAAAAAACCTGATCCTCTGCTGGTTGCAGTGGCACATGCCCGTAATCCCAGCAGCTTGAGAGGCTGAGACAGGAGGATGGAGAGTTCAAAGCCACCCTCAGCAAAAGCGAGCACTAAGCAACTCAATGAGACCCTGTCTCTAAATAAAATACAAAATAGGGCTGGGGATGTGGCTCAATGGTCGAGTGCCCTGAGTTCAATTCCTGGTACCCATAAAAAAAAAAAATGAAGTTAGAATGTATGAATGCAATCTATATGGTGACATGACATGTAATTTTTTTTTTTTTTAATTAAACACTGCCTTTTGGGTAAAAATAAAAGGAGAGAAGAAAAATATAAGTTAACATCTGCTTTTATTTTGAGTAGGACTTATTCAACTGAGAAGAAAAGAGTGAGTTCCTGCAGGGCAAGACGGGACCTGATAGGGGTTGCCCTAACATTTGCTTTTATGTGCCAAAGAAATACCAGGAGCAAGGACACCCTCAAAATCAGGAATATTGGTTACCTGTGGTGGTTTGAATGTACATGAAGGGCATATAAGAGTATAGTAAGTAAACCTGCTCTACAGGTTTATATTTTTTAAAGTCTTAAGAATATATTGCCTATTCAAGAATTAACTTATATAGTATTTTAATTCATCAAATAGAAAGAGTTTTTTGGAATCGACAAGAAAAAGATGACCCCCCAGGCACGGTGGCACATGCCTGTAATCCCAGAGGCTCAGGAGGCTGAGGGGAGGATCATGAGTTCAAAGCCAGCTTCAGCAAAAAGTGAGGCGCTAAGCAACTCAGTGAGACCCTATCTCTAATTAAAATACAAAATAGGATTGGGGATGTGGCTCAGTAGTCGAGTACCCCCAAGTTCAATCCCTAGTACCAAAAAAAAAAAAAAAAAGAGGACCATTTCATAAGAAAAGTAGGTAAATTGCACATTGCTGCTCATCTGTTCTGTGAAATACTAAATAGCCTCTTAGTTCATTTTTTTTGTTGTAACAGAATTCTCAAGATTGGGTAATTTAGAAAGAAAAGTTTATTTTGGCTCATGATTCTGGGGTCTGGGAAGTCCAAGTGCATGGTGGAGGCATCTGCTCAGTTCCTGATGAGGGCTCCATGGCAGAAGGACAGGCAGCATGTGCAGAAGTGAGAGCCAGGGAAAGCAAAACTCGCTTTATAACAAGCCACTGTGGCGTGATTGATCCACTCCCAACTAGAGCTAGAACTCACTCAGACAGGAAGGCATAAATCCATTCATAAGAGCCCTGTCCCTGTGACTGAGTACCTCCTGCCAGGCCCCACCCCCAACACTGCTGCTGGGGGAACCAGGCCTCAGCATGCATTTTGGTGGGAACAAACCATATTCAACCACAGAAAGCTGGGGGAGAATAAATCCAAACGTTAGCAGCGACTGTCTCTGACTGTACATGCATTGTATTTATAATTTTGCTGGTGATAGTCTTAATTTCCTGCGGTGACCTCTCTTCTAATTGGGAAAGTTGTTTTTTTTTTTTTTTAATATTTTTAGTTGTAAGTGGGCACAATACTTTTATTTATTTTTATGTGGTGTTGAGGATCAAACCCAGTGCCTCCTGCTGATGTGAGCCTCCTGCTCTACCACTGAGCCGCAATCGCAGCCCCAAATTGGGGAAGTTTTTGAAATGGAAATTGAGAAAAAAGAAATAGAAAAAAAAGTAAAAAATCAAGGAACATTCTGAAGCAGTACAGGAGCAAGGGAGACAAGTGCTAGCAAATGCAATGCCAACTGTACCGTAGCAATAACTGTACTACCAGTGCAGGGGCTCAAATATGGGACTTCTGAACATGCACAGAGACTCAAACACATATGTGCTTTCATGTCCATGTGAGGGAAAGAGTAATTAGTAGTGCTGGTCAGGTAATTTTAAAGATAGCATTCACATATTGAACTTTTTGTATTTTATTTTGAGACAAGGCCTTGTTAAATTGCCGATGCATTGAGCTTATAATCCTCCAGCCTCAGCCTCCCAAGCTGATGGGATTCTAGGCATGTGCCACCATGCTTGGCTCTTTCTATTTTTTATTTTGAGGTAGGATCTCATTAAGTTGCCCAGGTTGGCTTGGACCAAAGTTAAGCGTGAATCATGGCTTGGAATAGTTCACATAAAATAAAACATGAGGGACTGGGGATATAGCTCAGTTGGTAGAAAGCTTACCTTGAATGCATAAGGCCCTGGGTTCGATTCCCAGAAACAAAACACACACACACACCACACACACACACACAGGAGTGGTGATTTTAATAGTTGTGAGGAAACAGAGCTTCACAGTGGATTTTCATATTCCTTATAGTTAGGCCCAAACTAAGCGTGTTTTGTGGATGTGTGGATATGCACATGTCACTGCCTTCATGGACCAATATGTGAAAGAAAAATTATGAGAAAATAAACAGCACTTGTTATGTAGGGATTATGGGTGAATTCTGCTTCCTTTTAATAATGTAGAGGTTTTATTTGTAGCAAGAATTTATTTTCAACCAAGAAAATTGCTCTGGAGCAATAAAAGTATTTTTCTAAGATAGGGAGCAATTGCTTTGGAGAGCAGTGTTAGTGACTGTACATTACATGAGCTGTTTCATTATTGGGATATGCCAGGTATGGGATCAGATTGGCAATGTCAGTCACCCAATAACTTTGCCAGTCTGTGACAGCTCCCAAAGAGCTGAGAAGCTGCTGCTGCTGAAATGATGAAGGAGTAAGCTGTAGAATCATGTCCATCTCATCATTTTAACCTTTTCTTCTTCCAGGTTGGTGGCACCAAGGCTGGTGTTGTCCGGTTTCTTGGGGAGACTGACTTTGCCAAGGGGGAATGGTGTGGTGTGGAGCTGGACGAACCTCTTGGGAAGAACGATGGTGCCGTCGCTGGAACAAGGTTGGTTGGGATTCTTGAGGTTGTGTCTTCCTCTTGTGTGTGAGGCTGCTCAAGCTACTGTCCGTGTGCGTGGTGCAATAGGAACGAGTGTTCTGAAGAGCTGTGCTTTTGTTTCCCGAGATCCTGCTGGAATTTGATTGTCTCTTTAGTAAAGTTTGATATGTCTTGATAGATTCTGAACCAGTGCAGCAGTTGTTTTTTCCTCTCTGTCTCTTTTTTCCCAGTACTAAGGATTGAATCCAGGGTGCTCTACCACTTGAGCTATATATCTCCAGCCTTTATTAGTATTTATTTATTTATTGGTATTGGGGATTGAGCCCAGGGGTGCTTTACCATTGAACCACCTCCCCAGCCCATCTTGTATTTTATTTTGAAACAGGGCCTTGTTAAATTGCCGAGGCTGTCATTGAGCTTGCAATCCTCCTGCCTCAGTCTCTTAAGATGATGGGATTATAGGTGTGTGCACTACTCTTGGCCCTTTTTATTTTTAATCTTTTTTTATTTGTTTTAATTAATTAAACATGACAGTACAATGATCTTGACATATCATACATTTGAATCAGATGGGGTATAATTTCTCATTTTTCTGAGTTTTATTTTTTATTTTGAGATAGGATCTCGTTAAGTTGCACAGGTTGAGCTTCAACTCTTGCCTTGGCCTCCTTAGTAGCTGGGATCGCACTCCTGTACCATCTCACCCAGTTTATTTTTCAAAATAGGAAACATCGTGCTATCCTTCCCCTTTTTTTTGGGTACCAGGGATTGAACTCAGTTATTGAGTCCCAGCCCTATTTTGTCTTTTATTTAGAGACAGAATCTCACTGAGTTGCTTAGTGCCTCGCTGTTGCTGAGGCTGGCTTTGAACTCGCTATCCTTCTGCCTCAGCCTCCTGAGCTGTTGGGATTACAGGTGTACGCCATCACACCTGGCTATTTCTTTCCCTTTTGATAGCAAACTATAGGAAGTTCCTACAAGTTCTAGGACATCTGGGGGTGGGATGGAGAGAAGAGAAGGTGACTGCCTTTGTTAGGAAAAGAACTGTAATATGTGTCTTCCTGTCTGATGAGAATTCCATCCTTTGGCCAGAGAGCCATGGTCCAGGGACCACTGCCTCTGGCCTCCAGTACCTGATGGGAGTCAAAGAGCAGCACAAAGGAGTGCAAGGGGGATTTCTCTCACTTTTAAATGTTTTGGAGGCCTTGGGCACTGTGACGGGGATGCATCATTTTTTTAAAAAATATTTTTTAGTTATCAATGGACCTTTATTTTATCTGTTTATATGTGGTGCTGAGAATCCAACCCAGTGCCTCACACATGCTAGGCAAGCGCTCTACCACTGAGCCACCACCCAGCCCCTGGGATGCATCATTGTTAGTAGTATACAGTATGTTTAATGCTTCCTTTGATCTTTGAAGTGTTGTGGGTAACATTCTACCTGTAGGGCACGCACAGTCGATTGTACGCATGTGGGCTTAATCTGCCAAATATAATGACTTGTGGAGATAATAACCTCTTGGTGCAGCAGTGGTTCTGAAACCACCTGTTCTTGATGTTAGACCATCATTATTCTCAAGGATGAAGAGCTCTAAGGTTGTCCAATAGCTGACATTACTAGAATTTCTCCATGTTGACTTGGTGGATCTGCCAGTCAGGACTTGTGTGCTTTTCCCCTTTGTGTGGCCTGGCTTTATTAAGTGGGGACACTGTATTGTTGAGCTTCTCTGCTATACATTTACCAGGTGGTAGAAATATTATGTGTTGAACCTGAGCTGCAAATGAGCAGCGTGCTGCCATGCTGTTCCCAGCGTACCACCTGACACTCAGCTACACAGGTGGGAAAGCCACCTGCCCAGCTTCCAGGTGCAAGTCCCAGCACACCAGGCACACTTACTTTGGAGAGCCTTTCTGTTACAGGTGTTACTTCTTGTAATTAAATTGTTTTTGTTGCTGTTCTTATTGTTCTTTTCTGAAGGTATTTTCAGTGTCAACCCAAATATGGCTTGTTTGCTCCGGTCCACAAAGTGACCAAGATTGGCTTCCCTTCCACTACACCAGCCAAAGCCAAGGCTGCCGCAGTGAGGCGCGTAATGGCCACCACGTCTGCCAGCCTGAAGCGCAGCCCGTCCGCCTCCTCCCTCAGCTCCATGAGCTCCGTGGCCTCCTCTGTGAGCAGCAAGCCCAGTCGGACAGGACTAGTAAGCCTCCCTTCTTCTTAGAACTCTGCCTCTCAGGCACTGTGCTGCCCCCTGCGGGCGCCCTTGCTCTGCTTGTCCCTGTGCTGAGTGCTGGCCGTGGCTTGCTGCCAAGGGCTGTGCAAGTAAGCTCTGAACATGCCAACTCCAGCAGGAATGCAGCTTTTGACAGAAGAAGGGTTTATAATAGCGCTTTTCAGATTCTTTTTTGTTTTGGTATCAGGGATTGAACCCAGGGTCACTTATCCACTGAACCACATCTGCAGCACTTTTTAGTTTTTGAGACAGGGACTTGCTGAATTGCTTAGGGTCTTGCTAAGTTGCTGAGTCTGGTCTTGAACTTGGCAATCCTCCAGCCTCAGCCTCCTGAGCCACTGGGATAGATTCTAAGTCATAGATTCCAAAGAGCTCTAAGTGTGCACCACCACATCTGGCTAGGATTCTTATACTTAAAAATCTACCTGTTTTTGGTGAACCCGTTGCAACTACTGCTTAATTTCTTCTCTGAAATTACTTTGGGCCAAAGTGATGGGAAGGTTTGGAGGATCTTTTTTCTCAAGTGTGGTCTCTTTCTCTTTTCTTCAAATATTTTTAGGAACTAAGTATTTTGAGAAAAGCTTGTTTTTTGGATTTTAATATTATATTAAAACAGTCTGGCTCCCTGAAAGCAGTCAGTGTGTAACATATTCCTGGCATGGCCAGAGAGTGCAAGGAAAAGCCACTTCATGGTGCCTCCTCCCTCTCCTGGCCCTCTCCTCTCCTCTCTTGACCCTTATCTCCTTCCCCTTTTTCTCATTCAGGGCAATGAAAATATGTTCATCAGAGTCACAATGGCACCTTGATCTTCTTGTTAACATGGTATTCTGTTGGGGCCAAGAGCAGTGACTCTTGGCCTCATCCCCTGCCCTTAAATGTATTTACTTGAGGTGAGGTAGATGCCATTGACATCAAAAGTGGCAGCATGAGGTTCTGTTCCAGAGTGAATTCAGTGTCTCTGCTTTATGAGGGTGAATGCCCTTGACCTCATTTTCTCGGGACCGAGAAAGGAGAGGACTAGACTCTTTAGGTGGGGTTGGACTCTTCTGCCAGCCAGCTGGAGTTTTCCCCTTTTATGTTCAGGTAAAATAAATACGACGGGGACTATTTCAGTTTGCATATGAAAAAAAGGACTGCATTCTCAACAGAAAAATTACAAATGGATCCTTAGGAGGAAAGTGTGACCAGAATGAATTGGAGGTGGACGAAAACCCCTTTGTTTGGACAAAGCCTTGTTCAGAGAGGGTCTGCAAGCTCCAATATGGACGTCATTTCTTTGGGAAATACCAGCCCCTCCTGCTCCTACCAGTCTTTCTTCTTACTTAGGCAAGTTCTGATTTCTTTTAGCTTATCTCATTTAGTGAGGAAAATTTCATGGGAGATGAGTCTCCTTGCCCTGTGATACAGCCTGTCTGTGTGTTTGTGTAAGGTAGCTTCAGTTCCTTCCTTTCATTTTTTCCCCCCCAGTGGTGCTAAGGATTGAACCCAGAGTCTTACACATGCCAGTCAAGTGCTCTACCGTGGACTACCTCAGCCCAGGGTGGCTATAGTTTCTGAATCAGAAATAACCATGAATGAAAATGACAAGAATATAAAATAATTAAAAGTGTCTTTTTGACTGTATTGCTCAGAGATGCATTTCTGTCCCAGGAAAAGAGAAGCTGAAAGAAAAATTAATGTTTTAAATTCATTTTTAATAATCACAGTGACATGCTGTGCCCTGTTGTTCTGGCACTTCTTGTCAAACTTTAGATTCACCATCTCGGGCTGGGGATGTGGCTCAAGTGGTGGCGCGCTCGCCTGGCATGCGTGCTGCCCGGGTTCGATCCTCAGCACCACATACAGACAAAGATGTTGTGTCCGCCAAATACTAAAAAATAAATATTAAAATTCTCTCTCTCTCCCTCTTTCTCACTCTCTCTCACTCTTTCTTTAAAAAAAAATAGATTCACCATCTCCACCTTCATTTGCTAGACTGCACTGATTTTTGCACAGGACTTGTTTTTTATCTTAGCAGTGGCCAAAACCCAGTTTTGCAAAGATGGGGAGCTGTGGAAAGAATTGGAATGCAGTATTGAAACCAAATCGCTTCTGTCCACTTGTTTCCAGGGTGTCCAGCAGATGTTCTGTTTCCCTTGGCGTCTGAAAGCTTCCTGCATGACCCTGTGTGTTTGCAGGAGCCCCCTGGGCATCTCTGTACCTCGTTTGGGACCTTACATTTAATGTATACAAGAAGAGATGTTAGCTACATAAGAGATGTTATAACTGAATAATTTAGCCATATCGTGAAAGTAGAAAGTCAGGGTCAAATGGTTAAAAGAATAGGAACCCCCTCCCTACAATATGTTTAAACTAATTCCAGAAGTTTCACTAAATGAAACAGCAAAAGGCAATTTGGGTTTGACCAGATCCCTTACTCTTTATATAGTTACCAAATCGCTGAATTATTAATTGTGAAAGATCTCATCAGTCCACATCCTGCAGTGAGGGCTCGACAGACTGACTGAAGAGCACTCAGGCGACAGCGGAGCTTTGACTGGAGAAGGTGGAGTAAAGGCCAAATAGCCCTGGAGCCGGGCTCTGCTGAACGCCTTGGACAGGGCCGCAGGCAGAGCCATTTGCTCACTCCTCCAGGGTCTAGCGCAGAGGAGCCCTCAGTTCTTCTAGTCACCTGCCATCAGTTAGCAGTGCATCGTCGTCTTTGGGATTTTACGTGACTTTAGCCCAAGGTGGAGGATTGGATATAAAATAGCAAAAGTTAGCAGATGGCAGGCTGACGGTCCCGGCCAGTCTCTCTTCCCTTGTTTTCTTTCTTTGGTCTCCTGTTTCTCACGTGTTTCCCTTTAGCCTATTTTTCTTTGTCCTTAAACTTCTCTCTCCCTCTCTCCCCATCTGCTTTCCCCTCCATTCTTGTCTGTGTGTCACACCCAGACACCCCACTCAATCACACAGGGCCATATGCTTATGAAAGCAGGTACCGTTATCTCCCTCTATGCTGGTTGGGGAATAGGGCCTGAAGTGGATTCCTGGGTGAGATCTCCCATGTCTTTCCTTTCGAAAGAAGGATGAAGATTTCTGACAAAAAACCAACTATTTAATCAGTTGAAGAAAAGTTTGTGACTCCAAGGGTGACTTCTTCAAATCTTAATGGTATTTAGAAGATTAAGAAGCTTAAAAAGGTCTCAACCTCAAGTCTAAGGATCAAAAGATTGGCCAAAACGTCATCATGAGAAGATAACTGTTGCACAGGCTGAAATAGAATCTAGAGAAACTTGTTAAATGGGTCCTGTGGGATTTTTCTAGATTCCTACAAGGCCCAGTCAGCCAAGCCCAGAGCGCTTGTGATTTGAGCCATGTGGTCTTCTAAACGCCTTCTGGATTGTTCCCTGGGCTCATTGTGCTGATGTGAGGATCACAGGCAAAGGTTTATGCTGTCTTGTTTTCTTGCTGAGAACCTTGCCTAGCACTTGGCAGACCCTCGAGCCAACCGTTCGTGCTCTTGCTTTGCTGAGGAGATGCCCGCCATGCATGCCTTGCTCCCTGCTTGTCTCCCTGGTAGCGCCATGGCCCTTCACTTCTCTAACTTTCCTTTGCAGTTGACTGAAACCTCCTCCCGCTACGCCCGCAAGATCTCGGGCACCACTGCCCTCCAGGAGGCGCTGAAGGAGAAGCAGCAGCACATTGAGCAGCTGCTGGCTGAGCGGGACCTGGAGCGGGCCGAGGTGGCCAAGGCCACCAGCCACGTGGGGGAGATAGAGCAGGAGCTAGCCCTGGCCCGGGACGGGCATGACCAGGTGAAGACTGGCGCTGACCTTGTTGTGGAGATGGTGATGGTTCCTAAATTGAGTGAGGAGGTGGTGCACCTGGTGCTTGGAGCTAAGAGCTGGTCTTGAGAGCACCGCGTGTCAGCTTTTGGGTTGAGCTCGTTTGAAAGCTGTGACTAGGTGCAGTTTTTTGTTCTTCTGATCCGTCCTCAGCCTTTTGGTCTTTATTTCCAGGCTTCTGGGCCTGTTGTGTTAAGCCACTGTTCACTTGGGCCTTGGCAGCCATCCTAGCTCCCATTTGTCGATTATTATTGACATGCATTTCAGCTTCAGGAAAGAGGAGAGTCGGCTAACTGTTGCCCTTTGTTGATTTTTATGGTAGTTTTTTCATCATGTAGTTTCTCGGAAAGCTGCTGAGAATAGCCTATTAAGGTAGAAAGCATTTGGAGATGACAGGGTTTTAGAGTAATGCCCACCCAACATGGTAACCCTTACCAGTAGCTGTTTGGAGGACCCCGGCCTGTGTCTTGGTCAGAATGTGGCCACTCACGCTCCTCCTTGCTTCTCCAGCATGTCCTGGAGCTGGAAGCCAAGATGGACCAGCTGCGAACCATGGTGGAAGCAGCCGACAGAGAGAAGGTGGAGCTTCTCAACCAACTGGAGGAGGAGAAAAGGTGATCCCTAACTGTCCTTGAGTGCAAGTGTGCTTTTCCTTTTAAATGATCTTAGGCAGAAATTTCCCAGCAACAACCTTCTTGTTCACCTTCAGAACCAAAGGGATGAGTGTGTTCAGAAGAAACCCAACAACACTTCCTGCAGATGAAGAGGGTGTGCTTTGTATTTTTTATTTTTGGCAATACTGGGGATTGAACCCAGGGGTGCTTGCTCTACCACTGAATTGTATCCCCAGCACCCCCTCCCCTTGTTTTTGGTGCTGGGGATTGAACCCAGGGCCTTGTATGTCAGAGGCAAGCACTCTGCCAACTGTGCTACAGTCCCAGCCCCCTTTTTATTTTTTATTTGAAACAGTCTTGTTGAATTGCCTAGACTGGCCTCATACTTGTGATCTTCTTTCCTTATTCTCCAAGTAGCTGAAGATGCACTTTGATTTGACATTTTTTAAGAAGTTTGGATTCATTTAGACGTGACCTGATTAACAGATTTATTGAGCTCCCTGTGCAGGCTGAGATATCTCCTGAGGGTGTCCTTGGTCAGAAATGTGGAGGTAATTCCAACCAGTTTTCACCTGTGGCTGTTCTAGTTCAAGTCACTACTATTTATGGGATTATATTATGCCTGGTGATTGATGCAAGGTCCTAGTCCTTAGGAATTTCTCACATGAGGAGCAACTAGAGAATTATTCAAGTCAGTATGAAATCAAATGCTAAGTGGTGTGAGATAGAGAAATTTGGTTCTTAAACAAGGAGGCTCCTTGAGGCCATGAACAAACAAGACCTCTGAGAAGTGTCTATATGGAAACTGTGTGACCATTCCTGGGTTCTGGGAAGCTGTCCTCTGTCCTCTACCATCCTGTCATTTCTGATAAGAGCAACTTAGTTCAGTAATAACAATATTACTGCCTGCCCAGGAGAGTCCCAGGTACACAGTGAGGGCCATACAGGCTTTGCCAAGGCCTGTCTTCCTTACTGGAGACAGAAACATTCAAAAACTGGCTGGCAAGGAGAGATTGAGAGTGCCATTTGCTTCTGTCTCTAAATCACTCTGACTGCAGAAATGTTCCCCAGCTCCCAAACAGTCTTGTGTTTTAACGCATAATGAGAGTTCCCATTTAATTGAATAGGATTTTTTATTCTTAATTTTGGTAGAAGTAACAGTGAGTTTGAAGAATTTCGTTTTTTTTGCACTTAGAGTATGAACTTTGTCTCCCTTTTCTTTTTTTTTTTTTGTTTTGTTTTAATATTTTTTTAGTTGTTAATGGACCTTTAATTTATTTATATGTGGTGCTGAGAATTGAACCCTCACATGTGCTAGGCAAGCGCTCTATCACTGAGTCACAATCCCAGTCCTATTTCCCTTTTGTTTGCACCCAATTTTGGAAAGATGCATAATGTGGGGCTGAGACATAGTTCAGTGGTAGAGTGCATACTTAGCATGTATGCTCCTGGGTTCAATCCCCAGCACCAAAAAAAAGGTGGGAGATTAATAGTGTGGACATTACTTAGATTTTCTAAATCTTCTGAATATCACTTTATTTAATTGACTTTGTGATGACATAGATTGAAACCATGCCCAGTGTCAGATTTCACAGTGTGAGAAAGTAGAAAATGTGCATTTTAGAGTCAAAGAATAGGATTTTTGATGGCTTCCTCCCCAAATCATTCTTCACTCCGTTTTCCTAACCTTGGAGCAGTGCTGGTATTGCCTTAGAGACATTAAAACTGGGGCCTCTTCTGCATGAGAAGCCTGCTAGCCTCACCTAAACATCTGATATGAGGTGACATAGAGAGATTTGTGTTCTGCGTCACTCTCCCTTGGCTTCTCTCTTGAAAATTAGGAATAACGCTTGAAGCCTTGAGCCTGTTTCCATGAGACTCGGACATTTTCCTCTTAGGCTGGTCATACCTTGTGTACCTGTGTGCAGTACTGGGGACTAGACACAGAGCCTTGCATATGTAGGCAAGTGCTCTACCACTAAGTTGCATCCCAAGATCTTTTT